GTTGGCGGATGAGTATTCGTTCCCAAACGAGTTGTCGTTGGATACGTGGTAGTCGGTCGTAAAGTGGTTCTTGGTACAGCGACAGTTGTTGTTTGCCCTGTGTTGAAAAGATAAATCAATTTACTTTTGTTCACTTAGAACAAGTCGGTATTCAATACATGATATTGCACACATGACTATAGCCTGCCTGGTAGTAGCAGAAATAGGGGTCGTCCACAAACAAATTGTTTTTTGAATCTTGGTTTATTCATCGTACAACCACAGATGTTTTTTTACCCTATTTCTAAAGGATAAATCGTTTTACTTTTGCATACATATACCCAATACACTAGCAATTTAATTGTTTTCGACACTAAGGCTATAACCTACTTGCAGAAGACGTCGTACGTCTAAACAAAGTGGTAGTTGCAGGAGGATGAGTAGTCCTCGAACTCGTTGTCGTGGGATACGTGGTTGTCGGTCGTAAAGTGGTTCTTGGTACAGCGACAGTTGTTGTGTGCCCTGTGTTGAAAAGATAAATAATTTTACTTTTGTACACTTATAACCAGTACGGTATGCAATACATGATGTTCCAAACATGCCTATAGCCTACCTGCAAAAGAAGTTGTACGTCCAATGAAAGGGGTAGTTGCAGGAGTCGTCGTTCCCAAACGGGTTGTCGTTGGATACGTGGTTGTCGGTCGTAATGTAGTTCTTGGTACAGCCTCAGTTGTCGATTGCCCTGTTTCAACAAGATAAATAATTTTACTTTACTATTTACATAACCGAAACGCTATCTAATATTGAATTGATGAACATTTGTAGACAAAACTTTTTTTTTTTTGAATAACAAAATTAATGTAATAAGTACCTTGAACAGAAACCGACGACGAATTAACGCTTAATGTACTTCCAGGTAACATTCCTCCGGCATTGTCAATTGCAGTCACGAGATCCGTTTGCAGTTTCTCATCAGATGTCGTACTCCCAGTTGCCTGCTCGAGTTGCGCATTAGCAACGATGCTACCTGCGC